GATTATTGTGCTATTTACACCACACACAATTCGATCCTTTATCAGCTCTTCTTCTAAAGTTGCAAATTTACAATTTTTACTCAATAACCGCAATGACGTAACATACTGCTGTATGTTTTCACCTTCCTCTTGATTGCGAATAAAAATTTGTATCTAAGCAATGTATTATTAATCTTAGTTCCAAAATATTCATCAAATTTTCTCAATATTATTTGCACATCATCACAATCCTCTTCTTCAGCGAACGTAAAAGTTTGATAAATGTCGAATCCTTCTGAACGAATTAAATTGAGAAGTAAACTTGCTTTTACTGCCGATGTCTCCGAGTGCACATCCGAAGCTTTCACAAATAATATGAATTGTTGTCTTCACATCTTCCAAGCATCAGCCCTGCTGACGGGTCCGCCTTCTAACTGTAATTCGTTAGGTGGACGTGCGTGCTCCATTGTTAATTGCAAGACACACGTTATAGAATTATTTCACAGTTCACTACTTTTCATAAGTATTATGCTATTTGCATATGTTGCAATTATTCTATTGAAGTCCTCGATTTTAAGCGTTTACTATGCTTATGATCGCACTTCTGATACCATGATGTGTTTGAAATAATACACGTTCGTTAACGAGACAACAACTGATTTATTCCTCTCCTAACTGCCTACGTATACAATAATACAAATACCCACAACAATACTTAAAGGTTCGACACTAGAAATAAGGATTAGATAGTATATTTTTGGAGTATTTAGATTATTTTGACATTATACTAAAATAACTAAGAGGTAGTTAGAAGCTTTCAACACGGAGACACACGTAGCCTCCTCGTGCTTGATGTAACGTTTATGCGATAAAAATTGAAGGTAAACTAGAATTCAATATCATAGAGACGGGAATATTTATATCAAAATCAGTTTCGAAAGTCAAATATTTGTGTTTCGAAAAAGGTTTACCATTTTTTTACGCGATATTAAATAATTAAGTAGATAATAAACGTCACAATTTATGAAATACGCTCCCCGTAATGTTTTCAATTAATTTCAGTTTTTAAGCAAGCACCCAACCAAAGAAAAGTGATGGTCACTGTGTCTTTTGGACAATTACGCTTATATATAAAATATTTTTACGTTTTTACATTTAAGTAGAATTATTCTAAGAAGTAGAGCCACGCTTTAGCTAAATTTTCTCTCACAGAATACCAGCGTGAGACACCAAAATAATGTTATTTTTTGTATGGTGAATTTAGATAAACAAAGATCCTTTTTTTCTGGTAATGAGGCATTCCAACTTAGTCTTCAGGGGTGAGAACGCATCTGTATTTTGATTATTAATCGAATATAAACGTATGTATATGGGTCATTGCATCCACTTACCTTCGAGTATACTTTGTGCTCGCCTATCGCTCTTATTCCTTGTTACACTCATTGAAACACTGTTTTTAAGTGCAAAATTAAAGTTAATGCTCACTCTGCGCTTTTACAGCTTAAATAAGGATGATAGGCGAGCACAAAGTCTACTGGAAGGTAAGTGGATGCAGTGACCCATAATCATATGTTTATCTTCGATTAAGAATCAAAATACAGATGCGTTATCACCCCTGAGGTCTAAGATGGAATACCTCATTACCAGTAAAAAGGATCTCCGGGTCTCAACACTTACCATAAGAAACACAGCAGCATTAAGCTACTATTTTGCTCTGGTATTTTGTGAGAGCGTTGTCTTTCCTCGGTCGAGACGACCCATTCGTGCCACTACCATAATATAGTTGCAATGTGGCTCTAACATGGAAGACAAAACATCTGTAGCCATACTATTTGAAGTTTGGCTGAAAGAGACCATGGCTTCAAGAACACACTAACCACCGGGTGGACTACACATAGATGTATATTATTAGTTTTTAAAAGCTTGAAAACAATATTTACCTTTTAATACAATATCATTTTTCAGCTGTCTTCCAATTTTCGTAACCGTTGGTATTACACGAATGCTTTCCTTAATGACAGCTTCAAGATATTTCATTTCGCTTAAGTCTTGGTGAGTAAGTTTCCTCGAAATGTCATTATTAAATACCGATAATTGTTCTTCATACACTCTTTTCTGCACTTCTGGATATTTTGCTAAGCAATAAAGTGTATGACTTACTGTCATTGTCGTTGTATAGTGACCCTGAAATTTTTTTCATAGTAAATATTGATGTACTTTAAAATTAATTTAAATTATAGTATTTCTCCCTAACAAAATAAAAACGAAATAAAAGGCGTTTTTATTTTATTTTATTTTATTTCTCGCTACTACGATATGCAGTGGGGTATTTAAAGGGTAATAAATTTTTCTATACTGGTGGCCTACTGTACCATGATATAAAATTTAGATTAATTACATCACCTGTCCATCAATCAGCGTAGTACAGCACGGCAATGCGAATGTTTTATTATATTAATATAATAAAATGACTAAATGACTGCCTCGTTGATCTAGTGGTTTTAGTAGTAGGACTGCTGATCAGGTCCAGGGTTCGAATCCCGCGTCGGGCCAAAAAAAAATAGTTACTGAGTTTTTCCGTCAAGAAATTCTCAGTAGTTGCCCGGAGTCAGGAAGTTGGCGGTGTCTCATCCCCGTGCCTCGGAAAGCACGTAAATGCGTTGGTCCTGCGCCTGATCTCTCTCCGATCGTGTCGGTTTATCGTCCCATCGGATTATGAGAGTGAAGGAATGGAGAGTGCACCTGTGCTTGCGCATACACTTGGGCACTATAATCCTGTTCTGCGCAGATGGCCATCCTCCGTTGAGGCAGGCCGCCGTGGCCGAAATTCGGTCTGGAGGACATTATTATTATTGGGGGGGGGGGGGTATCAATATAGTTTTCTAATCTGGTTGGGTTCTATAAATATAATTACAAATGGAAATGAAAAGATAAATATATATTTATGTTTATTTAATTTTATTGATATTTATGTAATATCAATAAAATTAAATAAATATAAAAATACATAATTAAATAAAAGCCCAATCAGATGGTAGCCCTCGGCAGGGGATACCAAACGGCCGAGGGTTAGGGGGAAAGGGAAAGAAACCGGCGGACGATGCGGAGGTATCGAGGAGCACCGCATTCAGCATTTGAGCCTGGAGCGGTCCGCCACGTAGTCCCAGCCGCCTCAGATGACCCGAGAGGCTGACTGGGATTAGCTCGTTTGCAGAGACGACTAGAGGAATAATTTCGTTCGGCAGACCACCCCACATGTCGGTCACCTCGTGAGCCAGGTCCAGATATTTTGTTTGCTTATCTTTTTCGGGTTTCACGAGGTTCTCGTCATACGGAAGGGTAATGTCGACCAAAAATATCCTTGACTGTGCCCGGTCCATCAGCACAATATCAGGCTTATTCGCAAGAATAGTCCTGTCTGTGATGTGGCGGTCCCAATAGAGCCTGGCGCGATCATTTTCGAGCACGGTTTCCGGCAAGTACTTGTAATGCCCGGCAATTTCCGATCCACGAAACCGTATTTGAAGAATTCTGGCTACTAGGTTGTGTCTGTGCAAGTACTCAGAGTTAAAAAGCGCAGAACAACCGGAGATGACATGCCTATGTGACTCACCCGGATGGCGACAAGCTCGACACATGTCGACAGTACCATCCTTTAGGATGTATCTCAGATAGTTGTTGTTCTTAATAACCTGATCCTGTATTGCACAGACAAAACCGTCGGTTTCTCCGAAGAGGTCACAAAAGCATAGCCAGTAGAGGGAGGATACTGTGTCTACGAAAGACTCATGTAGACCCTTGTAGAACCTTCCGTGGAGCTCCTTCTCCTTCCATACGGTCTCCCGGTCGAAAATGCTCTGCACTGCCGGGTTTAGCCATTGCTCGTTGGCTAAGGATAGAGGGGTAAGTCCTTTATCACAAGAAATGATGTTCTTATAAAATGGTCATCCGATCTCGCCAGGAAGTAATTACGGAGGCTGCACACTTCGCGATTATGTATGGTGAACACGCTCAAGAAGCCACGCCCACCATGCATTACCGACAATCTCGGATGATGCATCCTATGGGACGTCATGGTAGTGCGGACTTTTCTATCCAGGGAGTTAAGTTCAGTCTGAGTCCACCTGAGTATGCCAAAGGTATACATGAGGACAGGCATGACCTAACCGTTATATGCGTGTGTCTTATTCACACTGGACAAAAGGCTGTTAAGCACTTTGTTCAAGCGTGCATAAAACACGTCGCAAACTACTTGTTTCATACCAGCCTTATCGATACCGATGTTATGTGACATACCCAGGTATCGGTATGTTTCAGTCTCGGAAAGAGTCCTTAAGTTGACGGGCAAAGATAAGTCTATGCCCTCAGAGTTTTTCCTACCCCTTCTTATCCTTATGTGGTTTTCCGCAGCCATCACCCGCTCACCCAGATAACAAAGGATCGTACTCCACTGCCCCATACACTGCCCGAGGAAGACTCTTACTGTACAGTCAATCTTGTACAGCTCGAGGACCCTTTTAGTCATGTATGGGGCACCGAGTCGAATACTTTTCTGTAATCTATCCAGGCGGCGGAGAAGTTCAGACGGTTGCGTTTCACCACTTTGCCAATGACCGCTTCAAAAAGGAGTGGTTCCTTGTTTCCACGACCACCGTCCCGACACCCATTTTGAGCGCGTGACATCACCTGATTTAGCTCCAGGTGACGAGTGATTCTCGCGTTCAAAATGAATGCAAGTGTCTTATATATGGCGGGTAGACACGTGATGGGGCGGTATTTTCTCGAATCTGTGGTATCCTGTACTTTGGGAATCAAGTGAGTGATCCCAGTAGTGAAGAGACTCGGGAGCGACTTCTGGTTGAGAGCCTCTTGAAACTGTCGGGTGAGCACAGTGTGACACACCACGAACCCCTTCAGCCAGTAGTGATGCAGCCCGTCGAGTCCCGGACTCTTCCAGTTCGGGGCCCTACGGACCGCCTCAGCTACGTCATCTGGTGTTATAATCGCAGGGTCCATGGGCGTTATACTCGCACACTGACTTTGACAACTTCCGTCCAAGGGCCCTCGCTGTGGTTTACGGGCTCTGACAACAGGCCGCGCCAGAATGCTACGGTGTTGGCCTGATTCGGTGCTGGGCCCGTTCCACTTACTATTAGTCGCTCCAATGATTCATAGAGCCTCTTCTGATCAATCTGGAAGAGACGATTCTGGTTGAACCGTGTCGACCTCTCGGTATATCGCCGAATCCGCTTTCCCCAAGCAGCGATTTTTTGCTTCAGATCATCTATGCGCTCCGTCAGTTTTTGCGTTATATCCGACTGGGACAAACTGACATTTTTCCCAGCAAACGCCATCCTGACGGTGCGCACAATTCTTGGCCTGTTATTGCCTGATTTGAAGCATATCAGTCTGCCGATGAGAACTCTTGCCTTTGCGATACGGTCCTCGATTCTTTTTCTCCAGGCTGGGATGGCGCTACTTTGTCGAGTAGCACGTCCAGTCATGGGAAGTTTGGCGCCAATAATACGGCATACTGCCAGTGCGGCGCCAAAAAGAATCGAGTCCGTCTCGCAAAGGTTCCGGCTGGCTTCCAAGTAGGTCATCAGCATTGGGTTAAGAGCCCGCACGACAGCCCGATTTGGCTTGCTAAGGGGTTCATTATTATTATAAAATAATCATAATTAATAATTATATTAATTTTCTTAGCGTACAGATGAAGTTGACATAATATTCTCCTTCAGTTTTTTGTTTAAAATAGTTGATTCACTCTGTTTGTTCGCATTAAATTAATTTAAAGCATACCTAAGCTACTTCAATACATCTCACGCTTTTATTTGCCGTGATATCAAAGCGATCGATAGTGTCCACACATGTGATAGTTATATTATGTATAAGTAGTAATATATTCAGAGCAACTCACTTTTAATTGAGTCACGATAGTTTTTACGCAAATAAGCTCGGTATGAACAGACAGAGAATCTAGTACAAAATGTAAAAAGTATATAAAGTCTTCAAATATAGCTAAAGAATAACATTGATCAAGAAGATTGAAGTTTTACATAAAACAAATTGGTAATTTAAAAAGCGGATATGCATAAAGTATGAAAGAAGGGTAAAAAGAAAATTAAACCCATCAACCTCTCCACTTACATCATGAGAACCAGAAAATAAGAAAAATAGCTGCTATTAGCAGCAAAGCCAAAAAAATCTCTGTTACCGCTTCAGCCTATTAAAGTCCATTGCTGAACATGGGCCTCCCCCATAGATTGCCTCATATGGGGGATAATCGCCACGCTTGGCATTCTAAATGGGAATTTAGCAATTGCACAGGAGATAGTCACGCACACATTGTAGGCACGAATAAATTCGGGTAAAACTATCCTTTCGCTTATACAATAAAATCGGATAAGCTCAGATGCCATATGGAATCTCACGCAAAAGTGTGAGACTTCTGGTACTGTGAACGCCATATAGTACGGTGACCAAGAGTGATGACTATGTCAAATCTTTCCTTTAACATATTCAGCAGATTTAACCAGTTGTCTAAAAAGTTATATTAGGTAAGTAGTATCATTTTAAAGGAACTATTTAAACAAAACAATTGAATATATTTAAAAAATACCGTGAAACATAGAAGGCTTATTTCTTCATTTATAACTTCATCTGGAATTGAGTCGCCGTTAATCGATTTACTGAGAATAAACTTATCTAAAAGGCAGTTATCATCCGATAGCTTTGCGAAAATAAAGTTTTCTACAGCATTGTGTACATTTTTGTTATTAATTTTTGTGTCTTCAATAAACTTTTGTAACTTTTTTTTCCTTTCGGCTATTATCTGTAATATTAAATGATATTTAATGTATTTTTATTTCAATATAAGTTATATTAAGTATACATAACATATTTCATGAACTTTACATCTGTGCTTGTATCCCGAAGAGTCTTAATGGTAGCCATCATTTCCCTATAATACGAGGTTAATACAAATAATGGGCGAATATTTCTCCAATACGAGAAATAATTAACAGTGACGATTTTAATAACTCTAAAACAAAAATCATTCGAAATTAATACAAATACTAAGGAATCGTGTGAAAGTAAATAGTGAAAATAAGTAATAATCATAATTCAACGTACTTTGCACTAGCTTGTAAGTAATGATGATCCGGATTATGGAGAAGATTTAAATTAACTCCCATTAATGAATCTAAAACACGAACAAACATTTAATATACATTAAATAATATACTATCAGGTAGAGTTGATTTTATTATTACCAAAAATTATTAACTGATAAATTATTACTTACTACATAAAATATCAAACATAAAAGGTCGCAAATAGCGATACATATCTACGCTTCCTTTGTCCACATAATCATCAAATATATCGAAAAGACGTTCGCAATAAATATTTACAACATCTATTCTGTTTGCTAATGTTTTATATGAAAAACTTGGAGACATCAGTTTGCGGGTGGATCGCCATCTTTCACCTAAAATATAAATAAATTTGATGTCAGGAAAGAAATAATGTGATGTTACTGCAACAAAAATTAAATAAAAAAATTAAAAACTTTTTGGTTTTATTGTGGAGAAGGAATAAGGAAGAATATTTAGGAGAAAAAATCATAAATTATCGTCGTGCTTTCTGCATACCTTCTGATGTTGACACAGAATTTCCAAAAAACGGCTTCATTGCTGCATTCCTTTCCACCGGTTTTCCAATTTCTGTAGGATGGCTTAAAATTATCTAAAAATAATAAATAATATAAGTGCATAATATTAAATCATAAATGTTATTTGTTCGGCATATTATTAGTGGTCGCTCAGTGGTCAAAATTCGACCATAATCATAAAATTTCCATATACGTAGTAATAATATGCTGTACAAATAACGCTTATGGTGTATTATTTATAGTATACACCACATGTATTTTTAGCCCGAAATCTGAATTATTACTAAATTGCCTTCAAAGTTACTTGCATGTATCCTTAACCTGAAGGATAAAATTTTACTTCGGGGCGACTGTTAATGTTGATTTGCTATTTCAACTATATAAAATGAAATATAATATTTCATCATCATCATAACGGCCTGTAAACTATCCACTGCTGAACATAAGCCTCCCCCATAGATTGCCTCATAGGGGAAATATTTGCCATAGTTGCAACGCTTGACTGGTTGACTGGCAGCCGCACTTTCTTTTATTTTAGTTGTTTTTAGTTAGACGCTGCTGCTAATTTATTAGTTTGTATTCTGCAGTCGCCTCTAATGCTATCCACTGGACGTTATGTATATATAATATCTCATAGCGCCATTACAAGAACCTTAAATAAGACACTTTAAATGCAGTAAATTAATCTGTAAAGCATATTGACACCAGCACGTGCTAGTTATAGGAGCTATTCAATAAAATAGACATACGACGTTTATCGAGCAAAGTCTGAGAACAGATTGACATTAACCATAGAAATGTAACTTATATATAAGTAGTTGAAAACAACTGTAAACAAAGGTTGTCATATAACTCATTCTCATGAATGTAAGCATAATTTATTGCAGAGAATTCTATTATGTATTTAGCAATATTTAATATAATTTTTAAAGTTAGTGAAAAGGAGAGAAGAATTATCTTTTTGAAGAGTTTGTACTAGAACCTTTAAATTTTTTTAAAGAATATGGTGACAAACGAGCACACAGTCTACCTGATGGTAAATGGTTGCCGTGGACCACAAACATCTATATCTATCTTCGATTAGGAATCAAAATGCAGATGCCTTGTCACCCATGAGGACTAAGATCGAATGCCTCGTTTCCAGTAAAAAGGGTCTCCGGTTCTCTACACTCACCATACGAAATACAGCAGCATTAAGCGAGAGCGAGAGCGTGGTCCTTCACCGTTCGAGCCGACCCATTTGTGCTACAACTACACTATTAATACAATTGCAGCATGGCTTTACCATGTAATTATGTATATTGCAATATGTTATACGTACACGTGTGAAGTAAATGCTGAGTCAACCTATTCAACTCGTTGCTATGTTTTGCTTTGGTCTGACAAGGCATATATCTACCGGCTGAGTACCCTTAACCCCTCCCCCCAACCCAAACCTAAGAGAGAAATCAACTGGAGCCAAATCTTTTGGTTCCAGATGTTTTCGTTTTAACAAAATAATTTTCTTAGAGACCTTAACCCCTGAGTCCCCTTAAAATTCCCATGCGGTCGCATGCGTCCGTCAAATCCCGAGCAGTCGCATGCGACCGCACCCACCCACAGCTCTTTAAACCACTAAAACTTATATTTAGAGACTACTTTTCTATGAAGAAGTTTGGTATTATAAAATCTATACAAAAGTTTCTATATAAAATTCTGGTTTTACTTCATTACAAAAATACTATTGTGTTTTGATAACAAAAACAAAACATACCAAGCGAATGTCGGCAGCATGAAAATTACAATTATTTCAATATATATTACTCGAAATTATTTACGTAAAAAGATAAATTATATTCACAAAAAATATCATTACAATTTTATAATAAAACACTATACTAAACACTAATAATACACTAGAAAAATCCAAAAACCAACACATTAACATTACGCGAAAATAAGGTATGAAATGAACGTAGATTATAAATAAATATCCATAGGATAACTGTTCTTTTGCACTATAGTATAGAAAATTTCATATTAATTCTATAATTTCAAACTTCTTCATAGAAAAGTAAGTGCTGTGGGTGTGCGTGGTCGAATCCGACCGCTTGAATTTTGACGGAATAGCACCGCGGTCAATTACTATTAATTAATAATTACTGTTAATTCCATTTACTGCGATCCATAGTTTTGAATAACTGTTGTCGCATAACCATGTACGCACTTAACTAAAGCCGTCGGCATTCCAACCCAATCAGTAATTTCTGTAAGTTTAATATGTCCTCACCGTGTAACACTTTAACTGAAGTTTGACCCTTAATTCGCTACGCTGAGGTAACACATAAAATTAACGCATTGGTAGCCCACCAAAAAGTTGGTATACAAGTGTCATGTCGATATTCGCATAAAGTTGGGTCAATAAATCGCTACCAATTAAGCCATCATATTTGTCATCTATACAATAAATATAAAATTTATGCCACTCATTACCTTTGAATGTCCTAGGTAAAGGTATGTATACGACCTCATCATCTTTACTACTGGCATGGGTACTAACTAGTTCAAAGGTTTCGTTTTGCTTGAAGTCGCAAAAATATTTATTCGCTAACTTACTGGCTTAAAAACGAACGTTGACTTCCGGTATCAATCATAAAGATTACGTTAAGTTCTGGTATACGTATGTGCGGAAGATTTAATATAGGTACTACAATTTAATTTTATTCGCTCTGGTGTATAGATGTGCTTATGTAAAAATTTCCCACTTGTTCATTCTCATTAGAAGTACTTGCATACACATTATTTCCGTTATTAATATAATCGGTATAACTTACACGTCTCGAACTGGCCGCTCTCATGGTTCGGCTTTACTTCCTGGGAACCGAGCTGTGCGTTGTCAGGAAATTTTTGACTTGGGGAAATGTAAATGAGTATTTGAAAAAAAAAACATTCTTAGCGTTCTTTCTTTTTTGCGTTTGCACTACGTTATTCGTTGAATTACGATTGAAAGTAAAGTCATAATGTCAATCTAATGCTTACGCCCGGCGACGCTTCTGAATTAAAATTATTAGAATTGTTTCATACCCGGAAATTTTTGATAAAATTTACAGTTCCGTGGTTGTGTCTGGTCGTAAACTTCTTGGAAATATTTTTCCAAGAATAAGGACCTTGTCTCACAACTGAATAAGAGGGTTGTTTTTAGGGCTCTCGTAGGTATAACTACGATTCCTTCCATTTTTATTTATTAGTGTAAACAAACGTTTAAACTACTAAACAAGCTTGAGATTTATGTCTCTATATTTACTATTATAATGTTACTTTTTGTAGTTTTGAGTTGCTTATCTCCTGTTTCAGGTTTCCGTAGTGTCGTTATGAGGGTAGTGAATATTCTCACACTGATGCTTAACGGTTAGTTTAAATAAGTAAATATTAAGTAAATTAAAAAATTTAGTTATTTAAAAACTCTATCTATCTATGACTATTATATGGTTATTATATATATTAGTTTATATAATATATATTAGATCTTTTAACAAAGTTAACAGTTTCCTGGTCCACGAAGCTGATGAAATAATTAAACAATTGAAATGTTCATACATGATTCAAGGAACAGGAATTGGGTTAAAATTCAACGCTATAAAATCCATAAATTTATTTTGACTTCTCGGATTGTCCACTCGTGTAAAGATATCATTATCTAGATTTACTTTTTTATCACTTAACTTATTTAGGGTTTTTTATCTAGAACGGGGTACGTGGGCTACATTAATCTGGATTAAGTTGGAAAATCAAACATTAACTAAATAACTTTTACGGAAATCATAAGAGCCGTTCCCGAGAATCCAATCACAATATCTATCTATTTTAGATATATACTATAAATAAAATCCAGAATATCCCTCTCTCTGTAGAAATTTGCATCAAGAAAAATATTTTATGGCTTTTATAACTTGAAAATTGGTAATAATTACCATAAACTAATTATAAAATATTGTAGTTTTCTTTTTTCAAAATTCACCCTTAAACGAGGGTGAATAAAATATTATATTTAAACACTCAGCCTAAACCACTGGACGTATAAGCGTGAAGCATGGAAGAACAGCATTTTTACGTAGGAGATGGGGTGTTGACACTTTTTATTTTACGGGGAGATTACATACTTGTATGGTGAAAAATTATTTAACGTATAATTGTAACTTCTAAATTGGTACAATTGAGTTTGGAAAAAAAAACAATGAAATATGCAGTTTTAATTTCAAAAATCTGGTGGATCTGGCGGATCGATAAAATTGGTATTTGAATTTCTGTGTTTTGTACCAAGAAAAATATTGTAAGAACGGTTTTTACTATTCAAAGGTTGTAGTTTTACTTAAAATCTTTGTATATCTCTTAATAGTGTAGGTGTGAGTCATTGGGACTTTTTCAACGTTACGACTTTATCCATATAAAACTGCGGGGCGAAAAGTTAGTTTTTATACATATGCAACAATTGAAATTTGAATTAAGTATTTATATGTATATATTAAAATCTTACCTTGACATCATCAGCATCAGTTAACAGCACCCATTCTTCAGATCCAAATGTCAAGCGGAAATTGCCTTTTCCATATTTTCTCCACATATCCATTAGCTTGGAGGATGCCTCTACACACATACTTACATCATGAATTGTTTATATTCTTAGAGATATAAAAACAAATGTATTGTTTCACAAAATTTATAAATTCTAGAGTCTTAATTTATATACAATACAAAACCCTTCACAAATCTCCAGCTGATGATACGTAGCCTTGTCCCAAGGAATGCCATACAAATAAATAAAATAACGAATAAAATATACCTACTTCATTGTTAAACGAAAATCAAGAGCAAAAAAAAAACAACAAATTATACAAATCATATGGGTACAATTGCCGGTAGGCGAAATCTCTACTAGGCAACCACATTGCAGTAGATATTTTATACAACTGTGAGAAAGGGTAATTGTGTACGCAAGTTATAAGAAAAAAAAAGACGGAATACATATAATTATAATACTCAATAAATACGTACATAATATAATAGATAAATAAATTTTAGTTCAAAAACATACACAGCATGTCTTCGAGATATTTTTTTTTCTTATTTCTCAGACATGCAGGTTTCCAGGTTCAACACCGAGCACGTGGTAAATATGCAATTAAAATAGCAAATAACAGTTTCATTGGTTCGGCGGGGATTGAACCCGGGTGGCTCGCGTACTATGAAATTTACAGCAAGCAATTAGCCTCTGAGCTACAACGGCTGATTGCTTATTTACCTATATTATTTTTCATATTCGTTTACTTAATCATTCCGAAACGCCAGTATGGGTATTTTATAGGTGTGAACAAGTTGAATATACCACCATCGATCGGAAGGACACACACGGAACAAAATAGGATAAAGGATTCTCTTTGGACCGCCGACCGACAAAAATATATAAAACACTTAACCACAGTACATACCATCGGCATCAAATCCAATTTCTAAAGCATTTCCTATTAATGGTAAAGGTGGATTTCCAGGAAATTTGCTTAGGTTCTTCCATCGTCGTGTGTTCTTTCTAATAGAGTGGTATAGTATCACTAATAAAAAGGTTAATACCACAAGCGACATATGCAGAATCATTTTACCTTTTGAGTGTATCTATGGAATATCAAAAATAGAATCGTATAAGATGTTAACGAATTGTTTGGATGATAATAATTTTGTGATAAATGAAAATCATTTCCTTTCAATTTATAACGGCTTGTTATCTGCCTTTTATCTGAAAAAAAAATAAGTAATACACCAGTCATAAAACCTTAATGATATTTAATATAGTTAGATTAAATGATTTGTGAAATTTTCTATAATTCACCTATAATATTTTATTGAATAATACAGAATTATTTCTATTACTATTATATTATTAGTAGTACCTGTTGCAAAAGTTTTTATCGTGTCTGTTAAAGATTATAATATTACAGAAACAACTATACAATATACAAAGTTCTGTTATGAACGACGATGACAAATAGGACTCGCTCTCTGAGGGTTTTCTATAAACTTAATTAAACGTAAAAGATATTCACTTATCCCCGGAAACGAGAGTCCCGACGATTTTTGCCTGTTTTCTTTCGATGCTGAGAAGATGTTGGTCGCGGGAATTCCAAAACTTAGTCAAAACGTTAAACATTAGCTTTTGTAAAATTCCATTTATTTTATTTATTTTCCTGTAATATGACATTAGGAGCGATGATAGCTCAGATGGTTAGCGCTCGCTGTAAATTACACTACGCGAGTAACTCTTGTTCGATTCCCACCGAAACCAATAAAATTGTTAATTGCAATTAAAAAATCACAAAATGACGACAGTTGAGAAAACTACGGTAGATACAAGAAAGGACGGAAAGTTTAATGATAAAGTATTTGTTCTAAGTAAAATAATAAACTTTGAGTAAGTTTTTGGGGAAAAAAAGGAAATGAACACGGCGAGTATGTAGTGGAAGGGAGTTTCACGTACTCTGTAACAATAGTACAGCTGTAACAGAAAATTATTTATTGAAGAAGGAGGATATAGTTGAGTGCGAGGAAAAATGATGTAAGAGCAGTTTTCACTTTCCAAAACGTCTATATTGCGGCGTCTATACACATTAACTGTAGTAGCTTAATTTCTGCGACCATTAAGCTTGAACCCACCCCCCCCCCCGTATTACGCAATCTCATAAGGAGCGTGACTTTGAAGGTAGAACTTGAGCGCGCTAACACCGCTTGGTGAGAAACTAGTTTAAATTATAAATATAATGTAATAATATCAGAAATTTACTAATAGATACCGATTAAACTTGAATTTCATGTTTCCTTGCATTTATATTTTATGCTTTTGATGGATAAAGATTTTTAACAAAGATAATATTAGTTTCTATGTAATATGTATGTTTAACAGTGTAAGCAGTTAAGTAAGTACTTATTTTTACCAAAAGGAAATATTTAAAATATATTTTATATGTGGTAGAGCCATGCTGCAGTTATATTAGTAGTATAGTTGTAGCACGAATGGGTCGGGGTCGACCGGGGAAGGACCACGCTCTCACAAAATACCAGCGTCAAATAGTAGTTTTATGCTGCTGTGTTTCGTATAGTGAGTGTAGAGTACCGGATACCCTTTTTCCTTTTTACTGGAAACGAGGCATTCCGTCTTAGTCCTCACGTGTGACAACGCAGCTGCATTTTTATTCGTAATTGAGGATAGATGTAGATGTCTATGGGCCAGAGCAACAATTTACCATCAGATGGACTGTGTGCTCGTTTGTCACCTAATCCTATAAAAGAAATCATACTGGAATTCATAAATTATAGGCAAGGTAAGGACCGTATCGCAAACCATTCTGTGGGTGTCGTAAGAAGCAATAGGCGAAAATTGTAACAGGTAGCAGCATTTTCCTGGTTCAAACTGAAAATTAAAAAAAATGTGGAATAAATCCCCCTATGAGGCAATGTGGAAAAGAAGGCAATATATAGACCATGTTCAGCAAGAGCCTTTTAAAAGGCTATAATGAAAATATCGAATGTTGCTCGAACGATGAGGTAAGTCGTATTATAGGACAATTTTAACTTTGGAGTGAAAAGAATATTCCTTGATGTATTAATACCATACATCATCATCGACATCATAACTGTAAAATGTTAGTTTGTAATTGAAAAAATATTTTTTATTTGATAAAACTATAAATTAATGATATTTTTAATGTTTTTCTTAATTTGTGCTGTAAGACATTGCTTCTTGTCAAATTTATTGATACTAGGTTCACGGGAAGTACTCAAAGGAAAATTAAGTTTACGATATCAAAATATGCTACATAAATAGCCGTATCTCTTGATTGCATAAACTGTGGATTGAACCTCTTACACCGACCGAAGACTCGTTCGTATTTGATGTTAAATTCAACTTTATTACTACCCGTTCCTGAGAAAAAGGTCCTTGGGTGATGGACGGACGGACGGATAATAAAGTGATCCTAAAAAAATATTTAATTTTCAAGGTACGAAATTAAAAAATACTTGACGTAATCTAAATCAGTTTTTAGATAGGATCCCAGAAACAATATTAGATATATCGAAGTAAATGTGCTAAAATATGTGTTATTACATGCATTCCGCTCAGTTGAAAAATTTAACTTTAACTTTATTTTAATCCCAGATGGTGTTATTAAATGATGCAAACTTAATAAGTTGAACAACTGAACTGGACATGAACGCTGTAATTAAGTGTTTTATAAAATTAAATGGCTATTTAAAACCGAGTTCTCCGCGACTAACTCATAAAGAGCATCTAGATAACATAAAATCTTCCACAAAAATAAATTGACAGTATGCAAGGAAAAGAGAATATTCACGAAAGTTAACAAAGGTTTGAAAACAAGAAGTCAAGGATCCAAGTGACAAAAACAATCTTTGAAATGAGCAAAAACTTTTGAAAAATTACTTATACATAAATTTTAAAGGGTTTATTTTAATTATACTAAAATAAATATTTTGTCAAGCTATTTATGTTGCGAATATTAATTAAACTAACAAGAGGTCCTGAATTGGCAATAATATTATTTACTCGAAAGTACTCGTAACTCTGTTTGTTTATAACCTAATAAATATAATATATATAATAAAGCACTATATATATAATAAATATAATAAACCACTGAGCCGATAGCAATTCATTTGACAGAGGTAGCCTGGGCAGATCCCTGTGAAGGGTATGCTACTTTTTGTAAAATTATTGTTTATTTTGTTGGTAATATTTTTGTATGAAATATTTACATGGCATTGAGACATGAGTAACTATTTTTGAAATTTTCTTTTGTCTGTTTATCCGAGCTAATCTTTGGAATGGCTAAACCGATTCTAATAAAACTTCATAATTAAATAGAGAGTAATACCAGGAGTGATTTAGACAAAATTTTATCCGATAAATTTAGAGATTTTGTTATAATAGAAATATTGACAAGATGTAATAAATGGTTTTTAATGAATATCTTAAGTATAGATACATAACGCCACATTAATAGATCCCACTCAGGCAAAGCTAGAGCGGGTCGCTAGCTACAAATATTTTAAATATTATGTTTCTTCTTGGGTACACTTTTATTTTCAAATATTTTTCTATTATAGAACATTTTCAATTAACCTAATAATATAACGTTAGAACGCTATTAGTACCGTGCATGTTGACGGTACAGGCTCGCTGATCGCCATTTTTAATCCCATTCTTTATCCATACGGTTATTTACTTAAAATTTAAATCGAGTTTTCAGGTGTCTCTCGTAGAAGACGTATTTACGATAAACCGTGTAGTGGAGGTGTAAGAAAAATAATGGATGTCGTAAGAGCCGACGAAGAGAAACAAATTCAAAGCGGCCCATCCGCAGCGTCTTCCTAATAACAATTAAAAATAAGAAACTGCGGTTGCCAACCTGTTTGCCAAGCGTGGTAACTATCGTTTATATCCCCCATAACGATTAAAAAATTGATACTGGTTTGGTTCTTTAGTTCCAGTTTACTTTTTGCTGCTACTCACTCTTTATATTACTTTCATTTTTTCAGTAGTATTCAGACTGATGTGTGAATATCGTTATCGTTTGTCCTTACGAAAGCAGCGGTTGCGATTTAGCCCTTCAATAATTTTTTCATAATCAATGTATTCGGTTGTTACACTATTGTTGGCGACGCGCCTATAAGAATATTTCAGTTTATTAAGTCAACCGATGACGAATAACGTCTCAAAGGCATATTGTCCAATAGCAATGTTCTAATAAGAAAATGCTTAGTTAAATCTTGAAGAAATGTCGAATTAATGATATGAAGGTCTTGGGTTCGACTCCCAGGCCGGACTAGTTTATTGCTTTCCTAAGTAATATCTTTCAATAAATTCATATAGGGAATTTTAAGATATAAATTATGTTACCGGATTGGTTCCCCGGTTGCAATCATCTTTCCAATGATGTAAATTTAAAAGAATAATTAAATAAAGTTAAAGACCGGATTTGTTCCCCGGTCGAGATGATCACTCTGTGCATAAATAGAATTAACGGAAATTAATTGCATAAGTATTGTCTTATATAAGTTTGATATGTTTTGTACGAAAACAAATGCCTATTTGCCATGATTGATTTATGAGAACATTCACTTATATTGTTATCTGATAAGAAACATGATAACTGATAAGAATCTGATTAGAAATAGTTTCCTACAGTTTGAAAATTGTGTAGATGCATTTATTCACCCAATATTGTTAAAATTGGTGTATATCAGACTTTCATTTTTTCTGATAGCCGAGAGCCGTGCAAAAGTTAGTTGTTCAAATAGTGTGAGTTCATAGACGTACGCTGGCCACGCACGTTGGGACGGGGACGACTTCGGAAGACCCGTAATCCCCGTCTGAACCTACTTGCTGAAAAGGAAGAGGTTATCGCCCTTGTGTGTTACTCCGTTGCGGAGATCACATACGTTGTTCCCGAACCCAACGTAGGCGTTATAGGAGGCCGGATCGAGAGAAGCCTCGATTCCTCCCTTCTGTTTCTTAGTTGAACGTTTGAATAAGCTGGGTTCCTTTTCAATTGGTCCTTCGCGGCCGGAAGAGGACGCCCGAA